AGATAGATAGACAAACGTTGTATTTGCACTTGCAGTTCTTCTTTTACGAGTTCTCGAAATCTTCAGAGGCTGGTGAGGGGAAAGGAAGAGGCGAGAGGGAGAGAGGAAGGGAGGGAGAAGGAGGTGGAAAAGGGAAGGGGGAGAAAGAGGAAGGGAAACGGATGGAAGAGATGGAGAAAAGAAGGAAAAAGGGAGAAGAGGAGAGGGGGAAGGGAATAAGGGGAGAAAAGGGAGGGGAAAGTGGAGTGGAAGAGGGAAGGAGGGAAGGAGGGCGGAGAAAAGGGAGGGGGAGGAGGGAAGAGGAAGGAGGGAGAAAGAGGAAGGGGAAAAGGAAGGACGAGGGAGAGGGAGGGGAAGGGAGGGAGGTAGGAGGGAAGAGGAAGTAGAGATAGGGAGGGGCGAAAAAAGGAGGGAAGGAGGAGGGGAAAAGGAAGGAGAGAGACGGAAGGAACGGGAAAGAGGGAAGGAAGAGGGGAGGAAAGAAGGGGAAGAAAGAAAGGAAAAGGGGAAAGGAAAGGGGTAAAAAGGGGGAAAGATTGGAAGGCGGGCCTGACAACCAGGCAGACAAACAAGAAAAAAGAAAGAGCAACAGACAAACATAATTACACATAAAAAACACAGAAAAGGAGACAAACAGAGATAAAAACAGAAGAAACAGAAAACAGAAACACACAGATACAGAACAGCAGAAATAGAAAAGAGACAGAGAAGAGAAACGGAAATAAGACAAACAGAGAAACAGAAACAGATACAAACAGAGAAACAGAAACAGACACAAACAGAGAAACAGAAAATGAGACAAAACAGAAAACAGAAACAGACACAAAACAGAGAAACAGAAACAGAAATAGAAGAAAAGTACACAAACAGAAAAAAACAGCACCAAAACAAAAAAAACAAAAACAGAAGACAAACAGAAAAAAACAAGACACAAAACAGAAAAAAACAAACAGACACAAACAGAAAAAACAAACACAAACAGAAAAAAAAAAACAGAAAGAAAACAGACCGAAATAATCCCAGAAAAGCACAACAAACGCCAAGCCAGCAAAGAAATATTACACCATTCTTTGTATCTGAATTTGCCTAATGTGAGTTGCGTATGAATATACATGCATGAAAATGAGTGATAAATATCTACCCTTTTTGAGGTGGAGGAAAGGTGGAGAGAGAGAGGGGGGGAGAGGGAGGAAAGGGGAGAGGAGAGAGGGAGAGAGGGGGAGAGAGGGGAGAGAGGAAAGGGGAGGGGAGAGAGAGGAGAGAGAGGAAGGGGGAGAGGAGAGAGGGAAGAGGGAGAGAGGGAAAGGGGAAAGGAAGGGGAGAGAGGGAGAAGAGGGAAGTGGGGAAGAGGGGGAGAGGGGAGAGAGAGGAGAGAGGGAAGAGGGGAAAGGAGAAAGGGAGAGGGGGAATGGAGAGAGAGGAAGGGGAGGAGAGAGAGAGATGGAAGAGGAGAGAGGAGGAGAGGGAAGAGGAGAGAGAAGAGAGGAAAGAGAAGAGAGGGGAGATGGAAGAGAAGAGAGGGGGAGATGCGAGAGGGCAGAGAGAGAGAGGGGAAAGAGGGGAGAGAGGGAAGAGGGAAGAAGAGGAAAGAGAGGAAGGGGAGAGACTAGTGGAGGGAGGTTGCCCAAGGGTTTTTTGGGGGGTAATGTCAGCAGTACTAGCCGTTTCAAAATGCTGTTTGAGATTTTAAAAAAGAATGTTTTCTGTCTTTCCCTTCTCTCTCTCTTCTCTCAATTTATGCTATCTATCTGTCTATTTATAGGACTTCTTTCTGTCTATCTTATCTACATCTACCTGTCTATCTATCTCACTAGATATCTGTCTATCAATCTATGTAT